ATATATATGCACAGATCTGTCTTGAAATGAATGGAAAGAACTGCTATGATCAGGACTCAAATACTGTGAGATGATTTAGAGTGATAGATTGGACTGTGCAGGCATTGCAGATGGTTTTATCAGAAACTACATGTGTGTTTACATTAGCTGTGTATGCAGCAGTTACTGGTTTATAAGAAATGCTGCAGTCACTGAGCAGAATAGTTTTGACTAATTTCCTGAAAATAGCCTTTTGCTGCTCGTTCCAAAGACTAAACTCTTGGGGGATTTTATAAAGTTGTTCTTATTTTTTTCTTAGGTCTCAACATTTGAATTCAAATATTGCTTGGAAACTTCTTATGCAGGAAGCTCTCCATTGTACTGTACTGGATAAGGGGAATTAAATTTACATTTTTGGTACAGTTTTAGCTTTATGGTAGTAATTTTGTTTCGGATTGAGTAATATTAGTGACACTTTCTGTTGTCTGTTTGTTACAGCAGCTCTTTGGATATCCCAGTGACTTTTTAAAACCAACCAAAACCAGTGCAGCTATAACCTGCTTTCCAATAGGGTTTTGAATATGTTTCCTGTACAACTGTCTAGCTTCAGTGTTTCATTTCTGTCTTAAAAGCCTGTGCATTCCTAATGGAGAAAGGCTCATCTTGAGGAACACCACTTGTTACTTGGTTTAATGGAAAGGACATGTTCAAGTCTCTCAACAGTGTGTAATTTATATTTTCCTCCTCTCAAAATTGTTTTAGAAATTGGAAAATGAAGATGACTTTTTTTTCCCCTAGTCCTGTCTCCCTTACCACCAATTTATTAAAATTCTGCTTTCTTAACTCCATTGGTGTTTTCTTTAAGTTTTAAAGCTTTTTGTGAGTGGATTAAAACCAGGAATGTCGAGGTCATACAAAGAAAAGAACCATTTGAGACCAGACACGGAGGCCAACTGTGAATGTTTATTGGTGGCTGATGTTGGTGATCAGGATTCAGGACAGCCAACTTATCTTCTAAGGTCAAAGACTCTTGGGTAGTTTGTGGGGGTATTTTTCTTGCCTGCTCTCACTGACCTGTGTGCCTACATGACTTACAGTTTACTTCTGATTTTTCATAATTTGTACTTGCTGAACATTCATTGTTAACACATTAATTCCTAAATCCTGAGGCTTTCAAGATTCATACAGCCAAGATGCTTAATTTGGATGCATGCAACATCTGTGACCATTTCTGGGAACTTCATTCCACATTCTCATGATTTCCTCATTAATCAGTCTCCTGTGAGTTGAAATACCTGGTCTTAGGGAATGAACACACTGAACCTTCACCTGGAGAAGAGTAAAATGAGCATTTGTAATTTCTTCTTTAAAAATAGCATGGATCTCCACCCTACTTAATTTAAATAAGAATTTAGTGACTGGGGAAGTAATTAGTTTTTGATCATATTGTATCATTTTTCAAAATCATCTGCAAGATAATACTTGCAATTTTTCTTGCACAGTACAGATTTGGGCTTTTTTTGGTTTGTTATTGTATTTGAACTGAGCAGTCACTTTGTTTCTAGCCTGCCCATGTTAAAATAGGTGTTTCGGATTTTAATTTTTTTAATTTGTGTTTACTTGCCTTTCTGGGGTACTTGTATGGGGCAGTGACTTTCTTGACATGTTCTTGCAGTTCACAGGCCAGTTTGTCTGGATCTTGTGACTTAACGGAAGGAGACAAGACCACAAAAGCTTTTACCACCTACAAAGGGAAAATAAATAAAAAAATACAGCATTAGTTAAACTAGAGCAACCTAACAAATGAGGGAATTAATTGAGAGTAAGTGAACATTGCCTGCAGTATCACACCAATGCAGTAGGGCAAAATTCACTTTTGTGTGAGCAAATTTAGGACTAAAGATGGTTTCTACCTTACAATAGTAAAGGTCCTAAGTAGTACTTGCTCCCCTTGCTGCAGGTTGAGTGATGGGAATGTTTGTACAGTTATATTGCAAGTCTTATGAATTCAGTGGAAGTTGAGTGTCAGCTCTGGCACATGAGGAACTTGATGAACAGTAGAGTGACCACTACTTATCTCCCCTCTGGTGAGGTCTGGGCTGCTGGCAACAGCAGCCTCAGTGACAGCTGGATGCTGTAGCAGGACACTCTCTACTTCAAATGGCCCAATACGGTGTCTGGGAGAGAGAAAGTAAATGCTTAGTAGGTGAAAGGTGTATGATTATTTTCCAGACATTTCTTGGCTTTTTAACTGAAGTCTACAAACCCAGAGGAGATGATGACATCATCAGATCGCCCCATAAACCATATGTACCCATCCTCATCCATGCTCCCTCTGTCTCCAGTGATGTAGAAGTTCCCACAGACTGTGGAAGCTGTTTTCACTGGATCATCCTGTTGAGCAAGCAACAATTCAAAACTAAATACTGAGAAGCCTTAAGTTTAGATAAGAGTTTTGCCTCTTTGGACACTACCCATAGTGTCTTTCACTGATTGTTTTCTGTCTCAGGAAGTTAAGAGTTTGTGCTTGCTTCTCCTGGAGGGGAAAACAGGGGCAGACACAGAACTGGAGACCACACAGTAGGTCTGCAAAAATGGGGGAGAGAATGAAAGTTTCCTAAGAACACTGTCAAGTCAAGAAGAGCCACAGCTCTTTGGTTTTGCAGCTGCTCCTGTTGGCATAAATACATACCATGCTACAGGCCTGAAGGGGGTTTCCAAAAATTTGCTTTTGATTTACCACATATTGAGTGAAAAAAGTAAATGGCCTCTTCGCACCTATTTTGACAGCATTTCATACTAGGGCACAAATTATAAGACTTACATGAAAAGCAAAATAATTGCTGTCACTGTCAGTGTTGAGGAAAGATGTTACAGTGCCCAAACATCATCTGAAGGGGTGGTACATTCTGTGGAATCACTAGTGTACCTTATTTGTCCTAATGCTGACTTGAAGCACAAGGACCATCCCTTGGTATGAAGCCCTGGCCCTGAAGGTGCACTCTTCCCCTTGTGTTAGATTATAACTGAGATTGGCTTGTGAAGCTGGAAAATAATTCCTTTAAAGAACAAGCCAATCTCACAGCTCCAATGTTTTCCACTAGACTTGCCTTTCTTAAGGATCACAGGTGTGTAATGAAAATATTAATTTACATGTAATTCAGCTCATTTATCATTTCAGTAGTGAAATACAGTAGGAGAGAGGTTTAAGTAACACCAGTAACTCCTACTGATTAGAAGCAGCTGGTAATATCCTATGCCCAAAAGAATCATGCTGCAAAATCCTTCCTGTATTATATTCCTATTCAAAGAACAATCACCCTGTGGTTATGCCATTTTAAAACAGTTAATCCCATAAACCTAAGAGGCTTAGTTTTGTGGCCTGCCTAGAAAACAACATGAAATATGAGTAACTGTTCATTATGAGCATGGTGTTCTTACATTCAACATTGCTCTCGGATCAAACTGTGGCATGGCATGTACAAAAACACATGTACCCTGGAACCACGGACCAAAAATGCTCCCAATAGCTGCCTTTACCCAAGCAGTGTCTGATATGTTCCACACGATGCCTGAGGGAGTCAAATTCATCCAGTATCTGTTGAAGACAAAGGTGGCAAATATAAGGAAGTCTGCAAGTAGAAATGAAAAATGTGAGGCTTTGTTGTTGCTGTTTGGTGGGCTCTTTTCCTTTTCCTTAGAAAGGCATGGTAAATTTGATCTGAATCTCAAGAGCTCAAATCAATTTCTTTTGCCTATCCTTTATATAGATGGCAAAGATAAAGAAAATCAAATGGTATCCCAACTCATTATTTATTCTGGGCCAACAGGAAAGTAGTTTCTAAAATGGAGCCATACAGTGGATTGAACAAGATCCTTGCTTCCTGGGTACAATTGAGTTGAGGAGACCAAAAGAAATGACAGATACAGGATTGTGGGAGCCTCATAATCTATCACAATTTTATCACATATAAAAATTCTTTGGTTTTCATTGAAACTGAAATACACATTAGGTAAAGGCATAATTAGCTGAATACCTTACCTTCCACAGAGAAAAAAGCCCAGACCAAAGCTCCTATAGGAATGTTCAATCATTTTTGGAGAGCCTGTGGTGCCACTGGTAAAAAAGATGACCATTGGATCCTGGCTTTAGTCTTCATACCGTTATGGACAGCAGAGGCAGCCCTTAAAAAGCAAGAAAGGTTATGTAAAACAGTGGTTGGTGTAACCCAGCACCCTTTGCTTGGATCCTTTGTGCCCAATATATGCAGGACTGTGTAGTGAGCTCTAAGGGATAAGAAATGAGATCCCCTTGCTCTTGTACTGCTAGTTCTGTGTTAAAGTGCTGCTGATCCTGCTCTCTAACTATACTCCATGTTCACTTTCTCCAGAGGAAAAACACCAACTGTATCCTTTTAATTCGGCTTCCATAATAACCACCAAATTGACCAGCATCATGTGTTTGACCCAAGTCCCCTCCAGAAAGCTTATCTTCCAGCCTTGATGGGTTCAGCTGAGGGAGGACCCACCATTTATTTTGTAGGTGGAAACACTCGTTAATTATCCTTGCCACATTTGGTACATGGAAATACTAGTTAATTATTCTGGCCACGTTTGGGAAAAACAAGGAGGCTCAAACTCTTGGTCGTCTGGCACATGACAGGGAAATATTTCTCATCTCTTACTAGGATGAGAAAGCAAAACTGTTCCATTATCTCTGCCAGGACTGAAACCTGGAAAGGTTTTGCTTGGCATACAAACATTGCCCATTCCTGCAAGAATATTTATCTGTCTCCCCAGGCCAGCTGTGTCCTGCTGCTGGCTGGTGGGCAGAAATGCTGCCCAGGAGCTCTTTCTCTGGAGCCTCACGCCTCCTGGCCAGCTCAGCAGTCAGCTAAGGCACCTGAGGACACAGGAGCTGGGAAATTAGGGCAATTAGCCTGCCAGGTAGGCAGGCTGCCAGTGATGTGTTGAGACCATGAGCCAGGTGGGACAGCAGCCCAGCACTTTGGGAAGACTGGGAGCCTGACAGCTGAGCAAACCTGGAGCCAGCCAGGCAGCACTTTGCAAGGCAGACATCTGGGGAACCCAGCCAGCCTACCTGCCTGGCCAGAGACAGCCTCTGCAGGACTGATGCAGCTCCAGACAGTATTTAGGTTTTATCAAACCAGGCTTACCCTCTGCCATGGAACTGAGCCACGGAATATTAGCTCAGCATGAAAGAGGATTCATCGACAATGGTAGCTCCAGGAGGTTTGGGAACGCAGAGTTACTGCTTCCTCTGTCTTCCACTTTAGTGAGACTGAAGTGGGCAATTTACTAAAGGAGCAGGTGGAAATACAGGGAGACTGTAGAGTGAGCTGCACAGGTAATGCTTGTTCAGCCATCTGTGGTTGTGAGACACATGGTACATCTTAAGAAGCTCTTGAAGTGACTGAAGAGCTTGGATCCCACCTTGAAAGAATGGGTTTAGCTACACAGATGCTTTTAGCAAAATATCAGCTGGTAAAATCACACCTAGGGCCTTGAGCAGATTGCAGCAGGGTATTTTCTTCCTTCCCCCACTCTGCCCCTCCACCCCTTCCACAATCCCATGCACTGCAGTGAAGAGCTGTCTGTTGGGTGCCATTTCAGTAGCTGCTTTTCAGCAGTGAGGCAAGTGGATTCCTAAAGACATTGGATTCACTTTACGGTGCACTTTGCAGCTTTCCATAGTAAAAAGCTACCCACATTAGCCTTATTTCATCAGGTTTTAGGAATACGGATTGGAATAATTGGTAGAGAACATTTTTCTTTGTCTTTTAGAGGGTAAATAGGCCACAGCTGTCAATACAAGAAGCTTCCCTTGCTCTGTATTGTTTCATATTTTTATATAACAAACCTAGACATCATAAGACTACTTATTTTTTAATTAGCAGTTTGGCTATTCCAAAATAATCCTTTTTTATATAGAAAAGAGACCAAATTGCCTTCTCTCCTACCTCCTCAAAGGTATCAACTTCATTAATGAGATGGAAGTGTACCAGAGTGTTTAAACAACATGAGAAATTCTCCACTAGTGAGAACTATAATGGAGTTAAGGTAGAAGGCACTTACTTGAGCAAATCATTAAAGTTCAGCCACTCAGCCCTGCTGCTTTCAGATACAATTAGCTTTGTTTTCAGAAACTGGCACTTGGATGCAACCGAGTCCACCACAGGAGCAAGTGCATCAGTTGTAACAACACACTTAGCCTTTGAAGCCAGCAATCGATAGCAAATGTCTTGTGCTGCCAGTTGTGTTGTCCCTGGGATGATGATAACACCTGAAAGTGCAATAAAATTGGAAATTTACTCCGTACTTCTCCCCTTCAGTCCTGATCACTTCACAGCTTCTCCTGATTTGTTGAATACCAACAACATTCAATCCAGAAATGAGAAGGTGATAAAACCAGTGCCAGAACTTGAATACAGATGTGAAGCACAAAACAGCTTCTGTTTCTATGAGATCCTTTGCTGCAGGCACAATGACAGTACAGTGCAAATGAGTAATTTGTACCACCAGACCAGGGTCAGGGGAAAATCCAACCAGATCTCCAAAACCCAACACAGACCAGCATGAGAACCCAAGAATCTGTCCCAGGATTGTATTTTTAAAATGGCTTTAAAATCAATTACTCCCCAATATCATAATTAGATTATGTTTTAAAATGTATTAGTTACATAGAATAAATGGATTACATGAAAAATCTGATTACTTGACTTCAAAGTGGATTACTTTTCCAAAATGTACTCACATTTGAAATCCGAATGTGCTTAAGAAGAATCAGATTCTGAAATTGTGACCAGATTACATTTTCCAACACTTTTTTATGACTGCACTCCAAAATCTAATCCTATTTTGTGTTATTCTCCTCAAAAATGGAATGATATTTAAAACATGCAACATGCTTTTCTTTTGTTCTGTTCTGCTCTCTCAAGGAGAGAAAAGTTAATCTCCCAGAACAAAGCTGTAACACAGGAAAAGGGAAGGCAAATTTAAAGCTGTGCCTCACAGTTATTGGAACCCTGTGCAGAACCTGAGGGAAGCCAAAGACAGCAAAGTGTTTTCTGAAGACCTTTGGTGGGAGGTAGCACATCACTAGTTAGCCAGGGGGGCTTATCCTGCTCTTCCTGATGAAGTATTCATGTTTAACTCTGACTGTGGATGCCCTGGGATTCTCTTCAAGCATTCTAGATACTTTGCTAGTGAAGTCTGATTCCTGCCCCCTGGCAAGGTTGCAGTACTGTTTATCCCTGCACAGTCCACTGCCACTGGTAATGAGGTGTGAAAATCCTGCTGAGATTCCCCCAAACCTGCTTTACCCTTTGAGCCTGGTAATCTGTGACCAGTGCACACTGGGATAACTCTGCTCAGAAACCTGATGGGCTGATGGAATCTCAGACACTGATGGCAAGTTCTGATCTGCATCTTAGATCTAACACTTGAATGTGATGGCCAAACTTGGCAAATTACCCCTTCTCTCACTGGTCTTTTCAATGAAAAACCTTTCTCACACAAATATGCTTACATCCATTTCATTCATAAATTGTGTCCTTTTATCTCTTACAGGATGACTATTTAGACCCACATCAAGAATTAGCATAATGATTGGTTTTATATCAACAATCTGAAATGCCTTCTGAATAACTAAAACCAACTCACCTAATGGTTGCTCTGCTTTTTGCTACAGCTTAATTCCAACTTTTTGTGTTGTGGGAAAGGAGATGAAGTTGTAGATCACTTATAAAATGCTCCTGCTCAGTAGACTGTCTAAAATAACACAAGCAAGTGACAAAAATCACCATCCAGCAAATCTGCAAGACCAAGTTCCAAACGCTTTCTGGAAATGTATTAAGCATTTCTAGACATAAAACTAAATATTAACTTTCTTACTAATGCAAGCAGAGCAATTTTATGTCCCAAATGCACACATCCCCCATATATTTGCACACACAGTTTATCTGTATGCATGCAACATTAAGCACATACTATGAATTTCTACAACTTACTTAGTTTCTCATCTATAAAAGGATCATTTCTCACATACTGAACATAATCACAGTTCTCATTTCATTTACCTCAGAGTGGTTCTTGAAGCAGAAGACAGGGCCTTATACTTACTTCAAAATACTCTTCAGTATAAATACATGTTGCTTGTGCAAGTTAGTAGTCTTATAATACAAGTAATAACATGCCTCACAGTTTAAAACCATGCCAAATACTCCCAACCTTGCATTGAGACTTCCTCTCCTGGCTGGAAGAGACAAGACACACTTTCAAAAGAAAGGGATACTTACCCGTGGTTCTCATACTTCCACCAGAAATGTGGATTTTGAATCTATTCAATACAACTGCTCATTCCCTATCTGTAACTGCATTTTCAGGACTTGTGCTACCACTGTCCAAAATCAGAAAAAATGTACATGACCACTCAGGGGAAAACATTAAAGAAAAAACAAGTTTCCTGTTCCCAGCTGAAACTGAAGATTTGTCTTGACATCATAAAACTTCAAAAGAAAGCAACAAGGCCTCTAAAAGAGCTATAATCAGTTATTTAACTTGTTTGGTGTCCTTAGAACTTCTGTGTTGCCCATTCCAAACACATACAGAACACCAAGAGAAAATCCTAATCATTTTCTGAAGCATGAGGTTGAAGACCAGAGTCTCAAGAACACACCAGCTTCCTTCTTATGATCCATTTCTGTTTCCTTGTCATCCTGATACAAGGGAGAACAGTATTGTCTTTGCAGACATTAGGCAACAGCAGCATTAACACCTAGGTGAGGTTCTTTTGCAACCTTTTTATAATATTGCATTTCTGTAATCTATAGAGTGACCATACCAAAGTCACCGTGTCCCCTCCATAGGCTTTGGATGAGAGGCTAAATGCTTAGGAAACAATGCATCAGAATATATTTGATACAAAATACCTTTTCTGATGCAGGTACTATCTTTCCTATTGTCTCTTGAGAATCACATCAAATAAAAGCTGGGCTGTAACAGGGAGGGAGAAGAGGTCTCAAGGGGAAAGGCTATTGCAATTGCCTATTGAAAAATTTATTTTTCAGGCAGAATAATACAATCCAGTCAAGTACTGACATTAGAAGCTTTGAAAGCAGGTACAAATACCACATCTTGGTGTTATCTGCAGTTTTTGATGCTCAAGCATTCAAGTACAATAGATCAGAAGGAAGGCAGCTAGATCACAGAAATTTATTTAGTGCTAATGGAATGAAAGAAGTTCTATTAAGTTCCACACAATTCTATCTCCGTCCCCACTCTTTGTCTCTTAATTCATTCCTCTTGATCTTCCCAGTGACTGTCTTTGGCAGCTCTTGGACAAATTCAACCTAAATAAAATAAAGAGAGAAAAGGATGTAGCATGTTCTACAGAGCTGGTTTTCCAAGAGTAGCTGTCAGCATATGGGCAAAACCAAGAGGTCTCCAGTCAGTAAGAACTGTCTGTCTAAAGGATCAACTCCAAGCCAAATCAAGGCAGCATATTGTGCCCCTTATGAAACAATTCCTGTCTCTGCCTAGATGGCCCAAGATCTGTGTAGCTGCCTTCCAGCTAGCCAAACTGACTGCAGCAACATGAGGACTGTAACAGAAGGATGAATGCCTAAATGGTATGATGAATTTGGATGAATGAGTAAAAGAAGAAAAAAAGGGATGTTATAGGCACAAAGTCTTTAATGGTTCTTCGTTCCTATGAGTTCTGCCCAAGTGAACCAAGGCACTGCTAGCAGCTCTTTTCCTGTAGTGCTGGGATTACTGAGATACACCAAGTGTATCCTCTTGGGCTTACCTCTCATTTATTTACTGTCAGGTACAGTAGAGAAAAGCTTATTCAGACTGAGTCATGTGCCACCATAAAGGCATCAGCAAGTGTTTGGTTGAAGGTTAAATACAAAATGGTGAATTATGATTGTGAGATTGACTTAGAACATGCAGATCTAACTAGGATATATGAAGCCTAGAAAGTTTTGAGAGGTTTAAACAAACACTTTACTCAAATGCATGAAAACCAATATAAAGTAATGTCATTTAGGAAAGATTTTCTGCAGCTAGTGCTCTAACTGAATCTTTACCACCGTCTCTTTCAAGTGAATCATGAAAATCTAAATAGTCATTTTCCTGAGATTTATGGAAGGGTTTAAAGTTGCTCCTCAGAAGTATTTACCTTTCTAGGGTATTTATATGGAGCAGTAGTTTTCTTGACATGTTCCTGCAAGTCATGGGTTAAACTCTTCAGGTCACTGGATGAAAAGGTGGGAGAGAGAACCACAAATGCTTTCACAACCTGTAAGGTAAGATCAACAAAAGTGATGTGACACCATCTTTTTTAAGAGCTGATACACAGGTTACCAGTGAACAGTATTGCTCAGTCATGACATTCAACAACATGCTTCATAACAAGGGCAAAGTAAACATGTAATGTTCTCCAGAGAGAAGACCTTCTTGGTATAGAAAGAAACTCAGATGAGCAAAGGCATGTAAATGGGAAGGGATTTTGCTTGTCATCCCAGGCAGGATTATCCATGATAGAAGTAGATGTGGTGATGTGATACTTAGGACATGGTTTAGAGGTGGACTTAGCAGTGCTGGGTTAACAGTAGAACTAGATGATCTTAGAGGTCTTTCCCAACCTAAATGATTCAATGAATATAAGATGACATGACAGCCTTAGATCTGTGTTCTCCAGTAAGGTAGAAATTTCTTTACATTGTTATATATTTAGATAAATGCATTGTTCCCCCCACCTCTTGCTCAGCATCATTACCTCTCCCCTGAGGGGATCTGGGCTGCTGACAACAGCTGTTTCTACTACTGCTGGGTGCTCTATCAGGGCACTCTCCACTTCAAATGGCCCAATGCGATATCTAGGTAAGGAAAAATAAAAAGGGGGATTTGGTTTTTTTTCAGCTGGAAAACCAGTACAAAATGTTTTTTTAATTGTCATTTTGAAGATGAAAAATCAAACCAGAACAAATCAACAACCAACTATAGAAGCTTTAGGCAAAATGGGGAAGCTGGCTGTGTTAGAAGTATGAGCAGCTCTTAGTGGTCATATGGTAGAGGACTGGATACCTCTCCATCTCCCCTTTCCTTGGGGCTCCTAAGCAGGAGGTCCATCCTACCCTGATGGAGTAGTAGCAGCTGATGCCAAATTATGGTGTCACATCATACAGTATCAAAGAGTTTCATTTCAACACCTTAAAAAGAAAGAGTTTCAAATGCTCTTTGAATTCAATAGAGATGTCCTTCAATTTTAGTCAAAAAATAAACCAGATAAAGATCCCTCCTCTGCCAATTGAAGTATTAATTCTTTGTTGAAACAGAGATGTTGCAGGGGAAATGGATACAGAGATGCCACTGATATCACCAAGATGATATTGCAGGTTTATGAAAGGTAATAATAAAAGCAAGTATTCCTAAATCAAGAGGTCAATACATTCATACCAGGACTATTATGTTAGAAGCTCACCAGGAACACAACATGTAAGACTGTGCAATGGCAGATTTAGAGGGGAAGTGTGCAGACTGACCCTGAGGAAATGATGATGTCATCATCTCTTCCAATAAACTGAAAATATCCATCTTCATCCATAGTCCCTCTGTCTCCAGTGACATAAAATTCCCCACGTTCACATGCTGCAGTTTTCTTAGGGTTATCCTTAAAGTGATTTACAAACAACAGTTTAGATTTTGAGCATGCATTAGCTATACATTATTCTATAATGCACATAATGTCAAATGCACAGGACTTAATTTTCCACCAATCCTAATAAAAAAACTACTCTGGTAATACATAACAAACTGGTGAAAAATATTCAGCCTTTTGAACTGCTATGCAATTGGAGAAATTTTTAGGGAGATTGATGGTGGTGAGGAATAAAATAAAGCTCTTACTACATATTCAGAGAAAAAACCAAGTGGCCGTAGAGGTTTGCTTCTGACAGCAATTTCCCCCTGTTGTCCTGGAGGCAGGATATTAGCATTTTTGTCTATGATCTAGAATGAAAAACAATACATATCTTAGTAATGGGAAAACAAACCCTAAACCCAGATGCAAACAAACAAAAAAGCCTCAGTGAGAGAATCTAAGGAGCAGTCAACAAACCTGAACATCATAAAGGGGAGCTGCCTTCCCCATTGAGCCAGGTTTAATCTTCATTCCTTTACAAACAGAGCAGATTATTCCCTGTAAAAATCAAAATCAAAGTTTTGCAATAGAAAATTGCTACATTTACACTCAATTCATTAAGTGTGTTTTCTGAAATAATTCTAAACAAAGGAATTCATAGGATCCTATATGTTGGTGCTGTGTGGTGCAGACAAGCAAAATCATCAAACTCTCTGAAAGAATCCTGTCCCATTATCTGTGAGGAATTCATGTCCTCTGCTAACTAGTCTTCTTCCCTTAGATTCAAACTCTGCCCTCTTGGCTATTGCTGTTACTTGGAATTTGCTTAAGGGCATTTGTGGAAATATTAGAGCACATCTCCTCCCAACAGCCCATGTTTTTGGCAGGTTCTGTGAAGAAAGCCATGAAAGGATGTTCTTTCTGAGATTATCAGGGGAGGAGATTACTGAAATATTCACAGACATGTGAAGGAGGAAAAAGCCTGTGTTCTTTCAAAACAAACCTTAAAACATCATAAAGCAAAAAGGAATGACAAAGATTGAATAGAATATTGACCCTACAGATGTACCATTTCAGTTTGGCCATATACTTCATGGATGTCCAGCCCAGTCTGGCTCTTCCACTGCTCCATGACTTCTGGGTTGAGTGGTTCCCCTCCACTGCAGCAGTACTTCAGGTTCATGAATTTGTACCTTCACAGGGAGTTAAAAACAAGAGAGGCAGTACTTAAATCTGTTGGGCGAGACAAGGAGCATGCAATGAACAATATTGGAGAGCTGTTTACTGGGAGAGTCAGTCCCATGAAGTGGGGAAATCAGAGGATCTCTGATCCTTGGACACATCCCTGGTTACAAGGATGTCAATCTGTGCTCAGCACTGTACATATGAGTAGTAGCAGAGTTAAACATGTGAAAAATAAAGCAAAATTTTTGCTGCAGTCAGCTGGGATTATAATTAACCACAGACTGATTTGCTGAGCCAGGGCCCTGATTGCTGACCCTCTGCAACAGGCCAAGTGAGAAAGTGCAAGAGGGGAGGAGGGAACAATGACAGGCAGTGAGGACTGGAGCAGGGGATGATGTACAACTGCTACAAGAGGTCATCCCCTCACAGTTAAGTTGACATGCCCTTTCTAGGATAAAGGCCTCCCCAAAACATGGACAATTAATATGATAATTGAAAACTATGTAAAGAATTGAACAGTCTCTCAGTTTCATACCCTCTCAAGTTCAGTAGCGAAAGTCTCAAATTTCTGAGGGAAAACATCAAGTCACTATGTTAGGTCATAAAGCTCAAATTTTGTACGATGGTCTTTCCACGAAGGATATTTTAAATTGATTTACTACTCTATTTTGGGCCAAGCAGCTAAATATGGGAGATCACTAAAGTTTAATTAGGGTAAATGAAACATAAGCAAATAATTTCTTGACATACTTGGAGAGATCATTTTGCACCAGCATGCGGAACAACGTCGGAGCACCGACCAGCATGTCAATTGGGAATCTGCAGAGAGTCTGGTGAGTTAAACAAGATGGACATGTGAAGCTCAGGCAAAAAACTGCCTTGTGAATGGACAGGAAACAGGTGACACAGAAAGGAGAATTACATTTGCTCCCTATGTAAATGCACCACACACTCTCTGTTGGGTAAGAAACCCTCCAGCATTTGGTGCAATGTGCAGAGAGATTCACAGTATATCTAACTGGACAAAATCCCATGCTAATACATCTACCTGACACCCAGACCCCACAGCCTGGGGCATGGACTGAATAAGTCCATCTCTGTCTATATCACAGAGAGTTTTTCCACTTTCATCTTGGGCAGTGTGGTCAGAGAAATGCTTCAGTTTCAGTCGGCATTAATACCAACTGATATAGCTTCCACAGACTAGAAAAAATGGCAAGCAATTAGTGCTGCTTTTGGATGATTTTCATTCATGTACTTACCAGCTATGAGTGAAATGTATGAATGAATCACAGGTTAGGCCCCTTCTGTATACATTAAAAATGCAAATAGGGGCTTTAAACAACAGATCCAGCATCCCAAACACAACTATGGACACAGCCCTTATGGAATCTCTAGATGCTGGTAAGAATTAATTTTTGCACCCTTTCTGCAGATTAACACATTTTCCCTTACATCTAGGATGACTCCTGGTTCAGTCTGTGGTAGGTTATGTATAAAGATGCATGCTCCAAAAACCCAGGGATCAAAAACAGATGCTATTGAAGTTAGTATCCATCCTGTGTCTGCTGTGTTCCATATCATGCCAGAGGGAGTCAAATCCAACCAGTACCTGGTAGCGCAGAAACGAAATGATTGAAAATATAATGAAAAATATTTGCTTAAAAAACCTAAACACAAACCACAAACAAAGCAAGCAAAAAAAGTGAACAAGGCCAAGATTTTTGGCAACATATGTGAGCATTGAGCATGCTACATAAGTTTATTTTCTGAGCTAGCTCTAGGGCACCTAACTATATGTTTGCAAAAATATACATACACACATATGAATATCATATATATATGATGTCAGTCACAACACAGGATTGAGTAAGGCAGATAGAGGAGTTTGAATTTCAATTCAGTGGCTACACTAGGTAGGAAGACAGGGCTGAATCAACAGCATTCATGGATGCTGTGTTGGATACCAGGTATGTCAGTTCTAAGGCTGCTGAGAGACCAGGGTGACCTGTGCAACCAACAAACTCTGCCTGTGCTCATCTACACATCACAAAGTTTTTTGCAGCCCAACCAGCATAGTATCTCTCAGTGGTTTGTGCTACAGTATTCCCAGCTGATGATTGCTGTCCTTTGGACCACTCTAGAAAGAGGGTAAGAGATATTAATTGAAAAATGGAAACACTGGGGGTGATGTTACACCCCTAGAAATTTGCTGGAGTTTGCACTCAGATTTCAAAGGGAGAAGGACTGGGGCTGTGCACTGGTATTTCTTGGTAATTTTTCACCAGTTCTACTATGCAGCTCCAATTATCCTATGTTCAACCAGGCTCAAGCCTTTCATACCTTTCACTTAAAAGGGGTCTGAAACCAAGACTACCCTGGGAATGTTGAGTCATCTTTGGAGAACCTGTGGTTCCGCTGGTAAAGAAGATAATCATTGGGTCTTCAATCCTTGTTTTGACACAGGAATGGTCAGCAGATTGGTTTCTTTAAAAAAGAGAATATAATTATGACTTCAATGGTTACTTTACACAGGATTCAGAATGTAATGAAGTACTGCATATCACAGAAGTCCTGCCCCAAAGAAGCTTCACAGAAGATTTTCACCAAATCAGACCAAAATAATGTGGAGTTATACTTCCCCAATGACAGATCTCCCCTTAAAAAGAGCAGGATAGAAACACCCCAGAAGGAGATCACTGTTAGCAAGCATCTCTGATGTGGATTAGCAATCAAGCAGTCATGATTAATGTTGGTGTTTGATGAGTATTTGTAGTTGATGTAAATGAGCACTTGTGGAGAACAGGTCTGCATTCTGCATCATTCTGCGGTGACAGTAGCTCATACTCACTTGCACAGCTCATTGAAGTTCAGCCATCCCTCCCTACTGCCTTCAGACACCATTAGCTTGGTTTTCAGGAACTGACACTCAGATGCCACTGACTCCACTGTAGGAGCCAGTTTGTCAGTGGTAATGATGCATGTGGCCTTTGATGACTGGAGTCTATATAATATGTCTTTGGCTGATAGTTGGGATACTCCTGGAATTAAGACAATTCCTGAAAGAGTGATAACATTAGTTTGGGTTGGCATTTTTTTCACATCTGATTTCTTTCTAAGATCCTAGACTATTAAATATTCCCAAACTGACTCCTGAGATGGATTTGTCCTGGTGTTCCCTAGTCAAACTGTTATACTAGATTAATGCAGGCACTGGTGCTCTCCTGTTAAGGACTGAGATGTGAACCTGTCTGGTAACTTCTATAGCTCTTTCCTGCCTTCTGGTATCATAGCTGCTGCACAGGCTACCTGTCTACAGCACCTAGTGCAAATCCTTCAGGACTGCCTGGCTGGCAGCTAGGCCACTGACTGGATTATTATTCTAATTTTCCTTGGTAAGCCACATAAATTCTTGATCCTCTCAACCAATTTGCAGTAAGCATTTTACCCATGTCATATGTACTCACTGACCTGCTCGCATGCAGGCCACATTCAGCAGCCACCATTCTGGAATTCGTGGGAGGATCACAATAACTCTGTCCCCCTTCTGCAGTCCACAAACTTTGGTCAGCACATTGGCTGCTTTCCGAGAGAGGAACCCCAGCTCCTCAAAGCTCCACTTCACTTCTCCTCCTTTTCCATTTATCCACCAAAAGGCAGGGTTTGATCGTCTCTTTCCAGCCTACAAAACATAGGGATTCAAACCCAAAACATTTCCTACTGAAAGACTATGAAATTATAATGCACAAGCATCTGTAAATTATGGAAAATCTGAGTATTTCACAACTGGCTATTACTTTTCTCTTACCTTAATTAATAGAGATATGTTATGCCTGGCTATTACTTTTCTCTTACCTTAATGAATAGAGATATGTTATTTATCAAGCTCAGATATTCCAAATAGATTCACCTTTTTTGAAAGGGCATCTGGACAAATGTATAATCCACTTTGGAGCAAGGAAATTGAACATTTGTGGGAGAGTATTCCCTAGCATGCAATGTTATTGTTATGTTACCTGCATTTTTATTATGTGACTATTTAATATTACAGGATGCAGAAGGAAAAAGCACAACCCATTCCAAGATTAAATCAAAGGCAAGAGGAACTTAGCATTGCTTTTTCTACCCAAATAGGGAGCACTAACAGTCAGAGTCACTTTTAAAGTGAAGCAAGCAAGAATGTGCAAATTTGTTTTGGCAACTTAATTTTTTTATAAAGAAAACCCCCCAACTTATTTCAAATGGAATTCAAATTAAAGTATCTCATTGACAAAACAAAAGATCATCTACCTTTTCAATCTCAGACCATTTGTCCAGTACATCACTTGCATAGTTAAAGTACTTTGGTATTTCTTGTTTGCCACGCCTGATGGACTCATACTGTGAATGCACATCAGAGGCAAGCAGCTTGGGGTGGCCATGGAAAGTCCTATGAGGAAGCTTCAGAGTCCACAAGAATTTTAGAGTCTGTAATTTAAACAATAACTTCATGGCAGAAGGTGATGTATGTAGCTGCTGCAGACTATATAAGAAAACTAGCAGAACTGTAGCTAGGAATCCTGCAACAACAAACAAACAAACAAACAAAGAAAAAAAATCTTGAGGTTATCCAAAGACAATCCAGTTTTGAACTGATGAGCTATTCACTGAAGTTACTTAGGCACTGCCTAACTGATGCTTTGAACTGTCCAATTAAAAGTGAAATTTCCCATCCCATTTTCTTATACTTTTTACTACCAGCTCTTTATGGACTTAAATGTCCTGTGCTGATCTGGCACCTTGTCTGGAGCTCAAGTGATCCTTTCAGAGTTTTGATGTATTCTTTGGGGCTGCTAATTGCCCATAACTCTCCTTCCTCCAACACAGCACCAGATGTTATTGTTTGCATTATAAGAAGGTTACTGGCTCTCACACCAAAGCATTCAGTAGCTGATTATTCATTATCATCATCATAGAATCATCATAGAATGTTAAGGGGTTAGAATGGACCTTGAAACAATCTCCCCTGCCATGGGCAGGGAGATCTCCCACTAGCCCAGATTGCTCAAGGCCTTATCCAACCTGGATTTGAACACTACCAGGGCTGGGGCATCCACAGCTTCCCTGGGCAACCTGTTCTAGTGTCTTACCACCCTTAAAAAAGTTCTTCCTAATATCTAATCTGAATTTCCCCACTTTCAATTCATATCCATTACCTCCTTGTCCTATCACTACAGTTCCTAAAAATGAGTCCCTTTCCTGCTTTCCTTGGAGCCCCTTCAGATGCTGGAAAGTTACTATGAGGTCTCCACACAACCTTCTCTTCTCCAGGCTCAACAGCCCCAACTTCCTCAGCCTGTCCTCATAGGGGAGATGCTCCAGTCCTCCTATCAATTTTGTGGCCCTCCCATAGGCTTGCTCCAACAGTTCCATGTCCTTCTTCTGTTGGGGACACCAGAACTGCATGCAGTACTCCAGGTGGGGTCCCACAAGAGCAGAGTTGAAGGGGAGAATCACCTCCTTTGACCTGCTGGCCATGGTCCTTGTAATGCAGTCCAGAACATGGTTGGTTTTCTGGCCTGTGTGTGCACACTGCAGCTCATGTTGAGTTTTTCACCAAGCATCACTCCCAAGTCCTAGTCCACAGGGCTGCTCTCAATGATTTCCCCAACCAGCCTATAGATGTGTCCGGGATGGCTGTGACCCAGGTGTAGGGCCTTGCACTTTGCTTTGTTGAACTTCATGAGGCCCATTGCTCAAGTGTGTCTGGAATCCATTCCTTCCCTCCAGTGTGTTGACTGCAGCACACAGCTTGCTGTCATCAGTGAACTCATTGAGGGTGCACTCAAATCTCCCTGTCCATGTCACCAACAAATATGTTGAACTTTTTCCTTTTCCTTCCCATGGAGAAGAATGGTTCCAGACTATTTGCATCGAGATTCCCACTGCTTTAGTGTCAGCAGCTACTGCCTGATATATCCATTCACGACATCTATCCTAAGAACCTTCACTTCAGTCATCCCTTACACAGGCCCCCAAATTTGATATAGACACAGATTTGCTCGCTGTAAATGTCCTCTATCATTTGTACTCACCATAATAATTTTAAAAGCTCTCATGCCCAATTAATTTCTTCCTTTCCATTTGCTACTTGGTTTTCTTATTTCTCTTTTTGGATGGTGATGATGATGATTGGTTCTCAGCAGCCCAGAAGATTGCTTCAGAACTGTGCTCAATTTTAATGCTATTTTGAGGCTTCCCATAAATGTGCGAGAAGATTATTGAACAGGGGGAAAGAAACTGGCTTGTGTCTGGAAGAGTCTGCAATCAGAGCAGGAGCCAGAGGACTCCTGGAGGCCTCTGATGATTCTAGAATGTGGGTCCAGCTATTGATTTTCCTTTTTCAATCACTAAATTCAATTACTCAGTGACTAAACTCAACATAAGGTTATGTGAGTGGCTCTTGAAATACAAGGTGATTTTCTTTTCTGTTCTTGCAAAGGATGAAGCTATCCACAAACTGTTAACAAAATTGCAAGTAATTTCTTATACAAATTCTTGTTCATGTGGGATTTCTGTGGCCTGAGCAAAGTTCTGCCCTTTGTCACAGGTTTTGAAGTTAATTTTGTACTCTTTTACCATTGCCTGTGTCTTCAGCTGTAATCATCTATCCTCTCATCTCTGATCCATGGAACTGTTTTGGTCCAATTTTATTCTCCAAGAAAAAGTAACTTATTTACCCTAGGAATTATTTCCTTATTCCTTAGCACAAACTTGTCCAGTAATATTTAATCTGCCTGTCATGGAAATTAACCCACATACCCAGAACTTAACACTGCTGAGTCTTTTCAGTAATATCTGACAGTATAAAAAATTCCAGATGCAGATTTCCCCCCCAGAACAGATACTTTGTCAAACCAACAGTAATTCACAGAGTGCTTTATGGAGATTGTGGCAGAAAAATACTGACCATCTGTAAACAATCCTATAGGACATCATTCGCTGCTGAGAAAGAATTGTAGGAAATGGATATAAAACTAAGTGTATTTATGTCCCTAAGTGTTACCCACATCAGACTCAGGATTATAGAGCAGAAACTTACTTAGATGGTACTTACACTTAGAATCAAAACTCCATTAACAGGCTGGTGAGAAATGGTCTTTTAAATATTCCCTAAACACATTCACAGAAAAGGGACATTAATAAAGGTGTTTTCTGTCATTTTTTGGGATATGCTTTCATTTTGATTGTTTGTCCTGTACTTAAGGAAAAAACTGCCAGTAAAAATATCAGGATTTTTGTGAAATGTAACCTTTCTTTGAGCTTTTCACTTCCACTGTTAATGCTAAAAACCAATGGATTCACTTTGATTCTTTGCAGAGAAAAGTCTATTCATTTTGATCACTATTTTCAATAACTTAGGAAGATATTTCTCATTCCTCGGAGTGCTCTAATTCTATGATTTAGGTGTAACTTACATATTTCAGAGCATTACATACTGTTAATGCTAAAAACCAATGGATTCACTTTGATTCTTTGCAGAGAAAAGTCTATTCATTTTGATCACTATTTTCAATAACTTAGGAAGATATTTCTCATTCCTCGGAGTGCTCTAATTCTATGATTTAGGTGTAACTTACATATTTCAGAGCATTACAGTGCTGAAATCTGCACAACAGCCTGTCAAGAAAAGAGGAGAGACTGAACATTCAGGAGCAGGATTTGAGATGAGGAATGGCATTCAAGACTGACAAGATAAAACACGGTTTAAATTCAGGATTCCCTAGTGGTCTACAAAAATATCTGCCAAGTTCTGCTGTGAGAGCCTTCAATAGCTTTTAGTATTTTTTCACTTGCAAACATAGAGATGAAAATGAAGTAAGAAACTGAGGAAAAAATCAGTCTTGGCAAAGTCCTCTGAAAGTCTGCAGGAATCAGAAATTACTTTTCCTGATTTAGTACCATCTGCTTCTGCTCAATGATCATTAACACAAGGAATTCAGACAAACAACATTTTCCTGACCTGTCTGTAGTGGACAGGAGAGATTGATTGCTGGCTGGGGGAGTTCCTCTTCATTCAGCTCGTTCAGCTTTCAAGACATGTTTCCCAAAGGAGGCTCTGTAAAGATTAGCCTTTACCTGGAGATGTGAAACCCTGAGGCTCAGTCCAAAAGGATCTGGAGTGAAACTCTTCCTACTTTATCATTTGCTTCTTCTGAAGTAACAAGAACAGAACAAAGCCCAAAACAGACCAAGCAGCAAAACTCTTTGAACAGAGTAACATTTTTCTTTTAATCATTTACACCGATGTTAATTCGTGTAATTTGCACCTTAACCTAAAGCACTTTGGATCTTCTTTTTTCCTCCACTTTACCTAGTTAAGTAGATGACAAATTCATGAAGATGAAGAGAAGCATTAAAAGAAAATGTTTTTCCCCTTTCTGTCAGAAAGAATTTGGGAATGTTATGGCAGTATTTTTTGAAGACAATATGTCAATAACCTGCTGATACCCACTGCAGGACAATGGTTGTTTTTATTACTTTCTCTTTTATTAATATGTATCAAAGTTTAGTAGTTACAATTTTTCCCCCCAGGAAGCTGTTAATACAAATTCCAGTAAAAAATTTTAAACCTTTGTAAGCTCCTAGGTCTGTCCTTTCTCTCTCCCATTTCACACTCTTAATTACTTGCACATTTTGCCTTCTGAAAATTTTGGATTGATGTCAAAAAGTGATTCCAATACCACGCATCCTCAAGCTGCAAAACTGTTTTCTCCTTTTTCTTCTGTAGCTTCTTTTTCCACATGTTCTCCTAGTGCTCTGGGTCATGACTACATGACAACTTAGATGTGTTAAGGCTGGTACCAATGATGGAGATTTTCTCTGCTCAGGTTTCAGATCACTCTTGCCCTTGTCATACTTTTGCCCACTCTTGGTTCCTTAAAACCTTTCTCTGGATTTTCCCAGTAGTTGTCTTTGGCAGGTCCTTAACAAACTCCACCTAAAAGGTAAAAATGTTCACCTGTAGTCAGATACATTCTGCTGGATTTCACAATTGAAAGAAATAGACACTTGTATTATGGCCAGGGGTAAAAGATGGGAAGGTGCACAGCAAGGGCTGGGACAGTGAAATGGTGACTGGATACCTTGTCCATTTGAGCTGCTGTGAAACCCCCAGTGTACCATGAAAAGAAGACTGGACCCAGATAAAATAAAGCACCATGACCAGTGCCTGTCTTTGGTCCTTTCTAGCACACACTGTGAGCCCAAGGCTACAGCTGCAACAGACTCTGTCATCTACTTTTATTTTATTTAGCTATGGTTGGAGAGTTTGTCAGAATGCAGTGGAAAAGCAG